CAAACTCTAATTAATAAAAATTTTTGTTTTTAAATAATAGAGAAAAGAGAAAAATTCAAAGTTTTCTTTTTGTAATTTTTTTTTTCAATTATTCTTTACTCTCGATTAATTCATAAAAGAAGTTCTAATTCATTGAACACGAAAAATTACAGTATTTAGTTTAATAAACTTATAAATTTTACAACTTTTTGAACGTGAAGAGTTGTATTTTTTAAATTCAATCTTCTAATAATTTTTTTTGAAATTATTGTTTAATTTATTATTATAAGAATATTACAATTTAGGATTTAGATCTTATAATTTTTTTTATTCAATAATTCTTCGAAAATCAATTTGTTATAAATTATATGTGAATATAATTGTTGTCTAATAAATTTACTAAGGTAATGAGCTCTAAAAGGAAAAAAAAAATCCAAGCACACAAAAATACGATGGAAAAGAAATCAATACTTGAAACATACCAAAATGTAACTTAATACTCATATGATAGTAAAATGCACATGCAAAATTTGAAAGCATCTAGGAACCAAGAATATAATAGAATTTGTGCTAGTATGCATAAAGATAAAACTAAGATTGCATACCTCCAATACACAAAAATACAACCCATAAAATGCCTTTGTATGAGTAGAATAAGCAAAAAAATATACTCATGTATCTAGCATACATTTGAAGCATGTCAAGATATAAATGTAGTTCAATGTTTAGAAATATTTTTCAACTTGTTCAAATGCACTTTGAGTATGCTGATACATATTTTTAAGTTCTGGTGTGTTAACTAAATATTAATATATATTTTAGGTTTTTCATAAATTTTAAAATATTCAATTATACTTTTATACATTTTTTTATATTTAAGTGTATTTTAGTTATTTAAACATATTTATGTTCTCAATAGTAAATATTTATCGGGATTAATGCATTCAAATATCTTTTCACGTACTATAAGTACTCAAATATATTTTTATATGTTCTAAGTGTGTGTCCCATTTTTGGATATTGTAAGTACTCTACTATGTGTTTTTTTAGAAAAAAACATTTTAGATACTCAAATGTGTGTTAATGTATTTGAGCTATTTTTAATCTTCCAAACACTTAATTATATTTTTATTGTTCTAAATAACCGAAATAGGTTTTTATAAGTTTTGAATATCCAACTACGTTACAAGTATTTAATCATGTTTTTATCAACTATAGGTACTTGGACTCTTTTAACATATTTCAACATATTCTTAAGCATATTTACATATTTTTTTCATTATAATTATAGATTATATTATAACCATTAATTATATCAATAAAAGAATATAATAATTGATGAGATATTATGATACAGTTATAATTTTATTGTAATATTGTTTATATTATTATCATACGAAAGACTAAATGTAAATTTGATTATTTTTTAAATATAATATTAATACTGTCTAATCAAATTATTATAGTTAATTTTTTTAGTTAAATAATAAACTTTAGTATATAATCAGAAAAAAAGGAATTTAATTATTGTGACATAAACTGAATTGAATCCGGTGATATAAAAGAAATATAAGATTAAACTTAATGATAGATAGAATGTTAGGAACATGTATTTAGTTACTGCCACAACGGTGCTGAGCCAGTGAACCCAATCTTCACTGTCTTGACCAAAACCAACAGAGGCCAAGCAATAACCGTCCGCGAACTCGCAGAAAAAGACAAATAGTAGGTAATAACCTGCCACTGCGGCTGAACAAGTTGTTTTCCAGCTCACCAGATTCCATCGATCAGGAGTCACGACTCAACCCATCTGCCGAACAAGTCATCGCATCCAACGGCTACCCTTCCCCATTATCATACATATTCGGCGTCACTTTCGCATCCTATCAAAATATCTTTATTTCCGATATTACCCTTATAACGTTAAATTTAAGGAACTATCATTTCACTTTGATTCCTCGTCTTTGAATAAAAGGTCAAGGTCATTATCGTAAGTAAAGAGCATGTGCCTTTGGTTCAGTCATCAACGCAGGAGTCAGTGGTATTCGAAATAGGGTCTAAAAACGCACTCTGTGGTGCTCTCTCTCTCTCTCTCTATATCCATGCGAGCTTAGTCATCGCTCTCTTTCTCTCTCTCTGTCTCACACACAGACACACACACAGACACACACTCTGCGAGTTTCTTTCTACAATGGCCGATCTCACGATTTCATAATTTCCTTTTAGAGCTCATATCCTTAAGCTACCGAATCGAATTCATCGGAGAACGCTGAAGATAGGCATTGAAAATGCTGGACGGGACTCTTAGGCCGTGGTTTCTCCTCCAAATGGTTTATGCTCTCTCCTTGTCTCTCTTTTTTGTCGATATACGTTCATATACATTCATATTCACACATTCATGTTACATATAATTGTGTCTTCATTTGTTTAGTTATATAATTTGATTTCTACTTTTTTTTTTCTGTCGTGTAGCAAATCGTTGATTAAACCGACGAAAAGCAGGATCGATATGCTGCGGAGGAAGAGGAACGCTACGCTCAAGTTTCTAAAGAAAGACATAGCTGATCTGATGTCTAATGGACTGGACATCAATGCTTACGGGAGGGTAATTTTTCTTCTATTTTTTCTATTGTAAATTTTATCAATCTAAGTTTGTCTGTCATCCGTTCCCTTCTTTTGGATTCTATTTGTTTTTTTTTTTAATTTGCCATTTCGTTTTTTCCTTTTGGTTTATCAGAAAAAGTGGCAAGAGTAAAATAATGGCAGTTTTTCAACTTTGAATTTTGAATTGGAATTTTTACTCATTTTGATTTATGTAGTTTTTTTGTTCTAGAAAGATCATCTCAAGAAAATGAATCAAGATTTTAAACCGAAGCAGAATACATAGCTTTGTTCTGTCAAGATTCCGATCTTCACAGATTCTAGCAATTCAGTTTTGTTCTTCTTGTGTCTTTTCCTTCTCTTGTTTCTGTGTCTTAAATAAGCATTGCAAACGGCTGTTGTTTTGCGAGTTGGTGAAACAGGCTGGAGGACTTCTAGACGAATTGAGGCTTTCGTGGAACATTGATTTTGTTGAAAAATGTTGCGATGTTGTATTGAAGCATCTATCAGTCATGCAAAAACAGAAGTAAGGATTTCTCTCCGGATCCATCAAGAAATTGTTGTTTCTCACACACTAGGACTGTAAGATGCCCAAAACAAACTAGTAGTTAAGGCTATATATTTGCTTATGGTGTTAAACAGAAATATATGAGTATTGTTTTCTTGAGCTCTTAAGCTCATCTATGTCCATTGCTATCGTGATATATTGGTAGAATATCATTATTGTACAAAATGGATGATAGAAGGGAGAGAGGTTAGTCAACAATGAAACAATTTTCTGTCCTCTGGACTACCTTCTTCAATGCATTGCGAATTCTGTGGCATCAGATGCCATGCTCAAATATTCAGTATTTAGAAAGGAAGTTATCTATTGTGTTCTCTAATTTCTTATGAAATTTGTGCTTAAATCTTATATTGTTCATATGTTTACTTTATACCTGCAATATGTGCTATTAATATACCATCACTTAACTCACGGATAAACAAGAAATATGGATTCTTTTTCCTTGGAAAGTTGCCTTAACAGTAATAATAAAGATGCATGCTTCCAAGCTATGCATTTCAGTGAGTTAGTTGCAGTTGTTTGGAGTATCAGCAGTTTTTTTACTGTAAATTGGCACGACTCTGGCTTGATTATTCTCTTTATTGAAAATAAAACTAATTGATTCGTCTATTAATTATATCCTTATATTCTCTCTAAAAGAACTGTCATCTTTGTAGTGAATGCCCTGAAGAATGTCGGGAGGCCATATCGTCCTTAATGTCTGCAGCTGCTGGATTTTCTGATTTACCGGAGCTGCGTGATCTAAGGCATATATTTCAAGAAAAATATGGAGATTCACTGGAATTGTTTGTGAATCAAGAGGTATTGTCAAAATATTCACTGCAGCTGAAAAATCATAGTTCTATATAATTGTAAAATCTATGGTTAACCAGCTATTTTCTTTATTGGCAGTTTGTTGATAATTTATCATCAAAGACTTTCTCAATGGAGAAGAAAGTAAAGTTAATGGAGGATATAGCGGCAGAGTTCTCCATAGCATGGGACTCCAAGGCGTTTGAGCTGAGGATGTCCAGACCTAATGCGTTCATGCAGGTATGACTCTCTTCATGCTTTGTTCATTATGAATGTTTTTATTAGGGACTGAAATACAGGATAAATCAAGAGCTCTTGATGGTTCTTATTTAATTCAATTTAATGCTTTCTCTATTTTGCCCCTGTACCAGATCATGAAATAGGTCCTTTTTCCTTTTCTTGTGAAATACTTGGATATTCTTGTTGCCTCTTGTTGAGCCTCCATTTTATCGGGCCCCTTCCACATTCAAACTCATAATTTTCTGTGATCATTTTGCAGAACGAACATAAACATTATGGCTCTCTTAGTGGCAATGAAGATGAAAATAAATCAATTAATGTGAAGGATATCATTTCAAAAGGAAATAAACACAATGTTTCATCCAAAGGAAGGCCAGAGCATGCTATTGATGGGCAAAGGTTGTGGAATAGCAAAGAGGACAATGTCTTAAAAAGAAGTGAAGTTGTTTCTCAATCGAGGCAGGAAGTCTCAAATGATTGGCATCGGCCAGTTTATGACCCAGAAGAAAACCTTCTGATAAAGGACAACCATGATGTTTTGTTCCAAGGAGCGCGGCAAGTCAATGTTAGAAAGCATGAAGCTTGAAATGTGGAGGATGCTTCCTTACACCGACTAGATCAAGCTCCTCGAGAGAGGGAAAGAAATGATGCTGATCTAAGCTGCCTGATGGTAGGGATAAAAGG